GCTGGTGGTGCCGGTGCTGGTGGGGGTGTCTTCTCCTCCATTCTGAATTTTAGGGGAACACCGGGAGACCCCCCAGCTCACACCCTCTCCTTTGGTTTCCTCAGGAGGTTCCACCGCGGCCTCACCGGGAACCACCGCTGGTTGCGAGAGCGGAGCCACGAGGCTTACGCCAAGAACTACGCCATCGTCTTCCCCTACGATGAGCCCATGGCCGGGCGTAACCTGAGGAAGGACCCCTTGTATGAGGTCAGCCCCCCCGATGAACTGGGGGTGCTCTGTGGGCAGGCAGAGCTGGACTGGACTGGACTGGACTGGACGGGGGGGGCGTTGCTGCCAGGGCCCAGTCCCTTGCTCTGCTGCCCTCTGATGAACATCCCTCGGAAGAAAAACGTGTGTGTGTGTGTGTGTGTGATGCAGGCAGAAGAGGGAAGGCGTAACGAAGGGAGAAGAAAGAAACGTTCTGCCCACCTCCCGTTCGTTGTTCGTTGTTTCTTCCTTTGCGCCCACTCCCTGCCGCCACTCAGCCTTTCAAGAAGGGCACAGAGTTTAAAATTCCCTAAATTGCCGCCTTGTTCCCATGAAAGAAAATGTGTCAGCTTCAAAAGAGCCACCCTGCCCCGTTGCAATGAACCCGGGGGGGGGGCACAGTGGATTGCAGTTATGGGGGGGCTGTGCCAGGCACCAGCCCAAAGTGAGGCCTTCAGGAGGATCCGCAAAGTGTGCAAACCTTATACGGCGCTGCTCTCCATTCCCAAAGGGCCACCTGGCTAGGATGGGCGCCGAGAGGGGGGGTGCCCTGTGCGCCTTTTGGGCCATGTTGCAATGACTGCCCGAATCTGGAAGCAAGGAGCCCCTAGACCTGCTGGCCAGGATTTCTGGGAGTTGAAGGCCAAGAACATCTGGAGGGCCACAGTTCAACACCACTGCCCTAGACGAAGGAGGGTGGAGGTTCTTTTTGGGGGGGGGAGAACGGGAAGGCGTGAATGAGATTGGTCCTTGCTCTCTGATACACAGACACACACACACCTCTCTGATACACACGCACACACACACACACACCTCTCTACCCCTCTACCCACCCATCTTGGTCCTTCACCCGGCAGGAGCTGCTGCGACAGGGCTGTGTCTTTCAGGAGAGGCACGGCTGGGAGAGGCCAGGCTGGTTCAGTCCAACAGGTGAAGCACCGGTAAGGCTGTCCTGGGATGGGGCAGGGTGGGCACCCCCTCTCTGGCATCTCGGGGGCCCTTCCAAGGGTGGGGGTGGGGGGCACCCCTGTGTTGTCGGGGGAGGAGTCTCAGAGGAGCCTCCCCCCATCATCATCATCCTCATCCCTCGTTATCCATTGGCTGCTGTGCTGGCCGGGACCAGCGATGAGAGGCGGAGGGACCTTGGGACCCCCGGAGGGTCGGTGGGAGGACGGAGGTTGCCGGCAGACCATATCCATGGTCCTCTCGCCTCATGGTCCTCCCCGCCAGGTTCTGGATTACGACTACTACGGCGCGTACGGCCACCAGCCCCACAAAGACCACGCCTACAGCCGGTTGCTCTCTGAGGAGTACACCTTCGATTTCCCGCCTCACCACCACGTTGTGAGTAGCCCGGCTGAGCCTCACGAGGGTCCTGTCCGTGAGAGGATCCTGTCTCTGGTCCGAAACTCACCGCATGAGATTAAGGACTAGAATCTTGCATGTTGAGGTTGTTTATTATCTTATTCAGAAACCGGGTGTGACGTTGTTTGCCCAAAACACGACTTGAAATAACACACTCAGCAGCTGACAAAAATCGATATTGTCTGTGCCGCTCAAAATCCGTGTGTGGGGGGGAGAGGGGGTGAGAAAGAGAGGGAGAAAGCATGCCTCTTCCTAGGAAGGTCCTGGTGCTTTGAGCCTGGCTCCACTGCAACATCGGGAGCGCCTGACGAACACCCCCACCCCCGGAAAGGCCGCCTCTCCGGTTCTGCCCCGGGAGTCGGGCCGCCTGACGCCTTCCCAGGAAGAGCTGCCCAGTGCCAGATGCACCAGTCCCTGCCCCCCCCCAGCTCCAGCCCCAAACTGAGCCTGGGGGGAGCACATGGGCATCCTTGCGTGTGCCTGGTTTTGTGCTTTGCTTCTAAATCGGTCAAGCCCCCCCCCCCCNTTTCAGAGGACGGTGCCTCGGCTGCTTCCAGCTGAAGCAAAGATAGTGCCTTTCCCTGGGTGGGTTGTGGGAGGGAGGGGAGGGATAATGGCTAATGGCTGATCTGTCAAGATGTCACTGCACTCAAAGAGCCCTGAGTTATGGGATGTCAAGCCTGGGACAGCGAGGGAGGAGCCACCCTGCCTTGGCGGGCCTTCCCTCCTTTTGTATCCCCCCCCCCATGAAGGATATTAAAAGCAGCTGCATGGTTCCCCCGCCCTCCCCCTCTCCCTCTCCTGCCTTCTGTCCCCCAATATGAAACACACACACACACACGAACACACACACACACACGAACACACACACACACACGAACACACACACACACACGAACACACACACACACACGCCTCCCTTGTCCCGCTGACACCAAGAGAAGCCTCGAGCATCCCTCCCACTGTTTTTTTTTTGCTTTTGCTTTTTGTTCTCCTCCAGATCAGGAAGGAGTGCTTGGCCTGCCGAAACTCGGTCGCCCTCTTTGACATGTCCTACTTTGGGAAATTTTACCTGGTTGGCCCCGAGGCCAGGAGGGCCGCCGACTGGCTCTTCACAGCAGACGTTGGCAAGCCTCCGGGTAGGAGGGCCCTCTCCTCCTCCTCCTCCTCTTCCTCCTCCTCCTCCTCCTCTGTATGCCTTGTTTTGGGGTTGCCCAGGCAGGCACCCACCTTCCTTCTTTGGGGAGGGGGTCCCGATTGGGGGGCTGGGGGAATTCTGGAAATGGCCGGCTCTCCCGAGCTCTGCTCCAAACCCGATCCCTCACGGCCTCATTTCCAGGACAGCCCTTCACCTTCGCGCTCGTCCCACATGCGCCAAATCCAAAGGGGTCCTCCAGGGGCCGGAAGAGGAGCCGTGGCCCACGTGGCCAGCTATGGTTCACACGGCCCACGCACATAGACCCTTCTCCTTGAGGGCAGAACTCTGTGTTGCTTCTCCCGGCAGGGAGAGGAGGCTCCCACCTGCCCCCCCCCAGCCCCCTCGTCTCTGCTCCCTCTTTGCTCTGCTGGAGCGAGGCTGAGAGGGGCCCCCGAAGGGCCACCAGGCCCGGCCCCACCCAGACCGGATCTCCCCCCCTCCCCCCCTCCTTCAGGGCATCTCCTATTCTCTTCCCAGGGGCAACCGTCTACACCTGCATGCTCAACAAGCACGGGGGAGTGGAGAGTGACCTGACGGTGAGCCCCATCGAGCCCAGCGCCCGGGACTCGGCCCTGGAGCCTGCCTTCGAAGGTGAAGAGCCCTCCTGCCCACTTCCAACGGTGGGCCTTCCTGCCGCCCAGGAGCCCGCGGCTGCCTCGGCCAAGGAGCGCCCGGCCCAGGGCTTGGCGGAAGGGGGGCGGGGGCGGGGGCGGCAGCAGGAGGAGGAGGCCTGGAGCTGTTGTGGGGCAGGGGGGGTCACGTGCCAGACCCCCTCCCCTCATTCTCCCCACTCTAATGGCTGCGCAAGCCTCCATCTGGCTCTGGGCGGGTGTGGAGGGTGATTTCATTACCTTTGTGGACCCCCACCGCCTGCGCACAACCTCCCCCATCCATCCATCGTCCATCAGGCCCTGTAAACCCAATTAAGGCTTTTTTCCTCGGGGCCTCCTTCCAAGCCAGCCAGGTGCTTATTGAGTTTCCCTCAGACGGCTCTGCTTGAACCGGCCATGAATTCTCCTCCAGGCTTTTGTTCGGCATCATCATCATCATCGTAATAGAGGGCAATTAGAAAAAGGAAGCGGGTGGCCAGCAGGGCAGCCTCTTCCCTTCCTGCCTCCCTGCGAGGAGGGGGCGCTGGGGCCTGGGCGGAGGAGGAGGAGGAGGAGGAGGAGGAGGAGGAGACGTCTCTCCTGGACTGAACTTTCCAAAGATGCAAATCTGCTCTTCCTGGGCCAGCCAGACCTGGCTTGGAGTCTTTTCCAACAACTTCTATATTAAAAATAAGACCGCATGACAACAACAGGTGGTGGTGGGGGGACTCTTTTAAGGTGGCAGCAGCTCCCGGGTGCTGGTTTTCTGAGAAGGGGTGCACAGCCCCCCCCCCGGCTCCCTGTCCCTTTTGTGAAACATTGGGTCCCTCTCTTGGTAGGAACAGAGGTCCACGGAATGGTGGCGAACCCCGTGGCTTTAAACGCGTGTGTTCCGAGCCTCGTTCCCGGGTTCTGGGTGTTCTTCGGCGTGCCCTGGCCGGCTCTACTCGAAAAGGTTTAGGCTTCCTGAAGTGGGGGTGGGGGGGTTTGTCTCTTATCCCACCTAAAGAGTTAAAAGTGAAGCATTCAGACCTCAGTTTGTGACCTTTGCGTCTGCCGTATGGAGTCTTTTGAACGGTCTCCCCAGCCCTCATCCCAGCCGGAACCCGCTGGGTTAGATTATGGGACTCGAAGTAGATCTCAGGCGGGGCCTGCAACTCCAGCAGCCCAGCTGATGCTTCATCAGCCCACTCAGCACATGCTCAGAGGTGAGGCCTCCCAGACACCCCAGAAGCCCTCATGGGCCACCAGGACTAGTGTTTCAGCTGCGTGGAAGCCCTCAGTCCGGGCGGGCAGGCGATGAGCGTCCTTTGGCCCTTCCTAGCCTGGCCCCCTCCTGTGTCCGTTCTCCATAGGCGCCGGCTACTACCTGGCTGTTGGGGGGGCCGTGGCACAGCACAACTGGACCCACCTCACGACTGTCCTTCAGGACCAGCGGCTGCAGTGCCGGCTGATTGACCGCTCAGAAGACCTTGGGATGATCAGTGTCCAAGGGCCGTCCAGGTGAGCCCCTTGAGGAACAGGGTGATGGGGGAGGACATGGGGGGGAGGGAGGGAAGACTTACCTGGAGGGGTTTGGAAGCCTCTCATTTCGGAGGGGTCAGTAGTGCCCTCTCACCCACCCAGCTCCCCACAGCTGGAGATGCAGCACGGCTGAGCACCGTCTGTTGTGTGTGTGTGTGGGGGGGCAGCCATGTCCCTAACAGCTCTGTGTTTCCTGAGGGTGCCTTGCCCTCCCCCCTCCCTCTCCCCCCCGCCCTGCTCCTGCATCCCCAGCGCTGATCCCCTGTTGATGGGCAGACAAAGACTGGTATGAGCAAGCGGATTGCCATGCCGAATTTTTATCTGGCCCTCCTGAATGACACCCTCTCCCCGTCTCCCCGGGGACACAGGGCAGCTTGTCAGGCTTAATTCCTCCGGCGTTGCTGACATGATCCTGCCAAATCCATGGCTGATGAGCAAGAAAACCAACTGGGACTCAGCAGATAAGCATTGGTCCTCTCGTGTTCCCCCCCCCCTTCTCCCCTTTGCTGGCTTGCTCTGAAAAATCCAAGAGCCCTTTTCTGATGTATTTAAAGGAGCAAAGCACCAATTCCAAGGCATTCTGGCAGGGCTAAGCGTTCCGACACTGGGGGAGGGGGCGGGGGGGCTTGGCCAATGTGTGCTGGTGAGTCCTGCGCCTTCTGGGGTGGCAGTGAAACCAGTTAGGATCTTGCCTGCATCGGCTGCCCAGCGGTAGCAGAACAAACGGGTGGCTCAGAACCGCCCTCTCTGAGGGAGAGCCACCCGTTCGCTTGCCTTAAAGCAAGTTTCTGGGTCTTGCGGCTGAATCACCGTGTGTGGAAGTGCAGGATGTCTGGAGGGTCCCTGGAGGAAAATTAAAGAATTAGCTTTGCAACTGGGATGAACCTGACTTAATATGCTTTATATACCTGAAGGAATCCAGGTTTCTCTTAATGCCAAATCAGGATTGTCTGGATTCAGAGCTTTATCTGTTTTTTTCAAGGTGTGATGTACCCCTGGCCTAACTGGTGTGCAGCCTGGTTGTGTGGCCCTTGTTTCCATGTTTTGTCAGATTTTAAGGGTTTCTTTGGCTCATGTTTTTGAACCCTATTACCTTGAGTGGAAACATTTTTCCTGTATTTAAAGAAAGGTGTGGGTCTTTTACACGATCCAAAGGCAAGAGAATAGTGCAACGCTTGTTTTACCGGAGGAGGGAAAAATCAGCGACATAAACAAACTTTCCATCTCGCTGTGGGTAGTGCAGGAAAAAAATGCAAAAGCCCCCCCCCCTGCGTGTAAGTCTAGCTCCTTCATTAACAGAAAGTTTCAGAACGGGGAAGGGGGGGGAACAGCTGCAGATTCGGGTCCAAAATGGGGACAAACGCAGGTGTCCTTCCTTCGCGGCCCCTCCCGGGGATCAAGCATTCCGGCTGGGGGGGCTGTGTGGAAGGGGGGGCCTCCACAGGCCGTGGCTGGCCACAGGCTCCTCAGTGGGCCTCCTCTCCTCCTCTTTCCGCACAGCCGCGCCGTCCTGCAGGAAGTTCTGGACGCAGACCTCAGCAACGAGGCCTTCCCCTTCTCCACACACAGACTGGCCAAGGCGGCCGGCCGTCTGGTGAGTGCCCCACGGCGCTTTGCTGGCTTTCAGGCGAGCAGCTGTGCTGCCTGCGGAGGGGGGAGCGGGTGGGGGGCAGGTTCCCTTCCACGTGCCTGCCGGTGGTGTCCCGGTGGCGTCCAAAGGCTGTGGGCCTTTTCCAGCCTCCCTGCGAAGGCGTAGGCGATTCTGCTCTGGGCCTGGAGGGAGAGGCAGGAGGGTGGCCTTGAAGCCCCAGAGGGGCTCCGTGGGGGACCCCCAGACGCTCCCCTGCCCCCCCCCACTCCAGGGCTGTGAATGTCTCCCAGGTGGTGGCACGTCTCCCAGTTGTGACTTCCGCGGATTCAGAGGCAGACCTGCTGGGATGCCCAGGACAACAGGCCAGGCCTTCGGGCATACCTTTCTGCCGGTGGGTGACCCCCGGCTGCCCCTCCTGCCTCCTGGAGGGACTCGCTGGCTAGTCCCCAGCTCGGTGGGGGGGGGGAGAAGGGCCCCACAACGGGGCTGGCACCCTCCCTTCCTGCAGTATCTGCCATTGTACCTGGAGCAGCACTTAAGCCACTTGCCCCTGGGGTGTCCTGTCAGGCTCCGAGTTCAGCTGCTTGGCTCCCCACCCCCAGCCGTCTCCTCCGCACTGGCTTCGCCTTGCTCTCCCTCTTCTGGCGTCTTTGGCAGGGATGCTTCCCAGGTCTGCTGCAGTGGGGAGGGGGGTGTCCCTGGAGGTCAGTCTGGCCAGGCGGCAGATGGAGGGAGGGCGGGAGGGAGGGAGGCGCCTTCCCTGGGGGGCGGGAGCCACCCTGGCTCCTGGCCCCTGGCCTGCTCCGTCTGCTGGTCATCAAGGTCAGACATGTGTTTTTCCAGAGAGGGGCGGCTTCATGGCCAAGCAGCTGTGGGACAGATAGACAGAGCGAGCGAGAGAGAGAGAGAGAGAGACTGCAGGAGCCGACCGTCTCGTCTGAGGGGACCCTGAGGGTTCTCTTAGTGATGAAGCACCTAAGAGAGGGGGGGGGGGTCAGCCCTGAAAAGAGCTGCCCGGTTTGCAAAGCAGCCCACAGAGATCCGAGTCCTCCCGAGAGACACACACACCCCGTCCAGCGTGTTTGGATGGGCCTTGGGAGCAGCCGTGCCCAGGCTTAACCTGGGGTGGGGGGAGGAAAAGTAACAGCCCCCCCCCCGTAGGCACTATGGGGAGGCTAAGAGAGGGGGGGGGGGTCAGCCCTGAAAAGAGCTGCCCGGTTTGCAAAGCAGCCCACAGAGATCCGAGTCCTCCCGAGAGACACACACACCCCGTCCAGCGTGTTTGGATGGGCCTTGGGAGCAGCCGTGCCCAGGCTTAACCTGGGGTGGGGGGAGGAAAAGTAACAGCCCCCCCCCCGTAGGCACTATGGGGAGGGGGGGGGGGGAGTGCTATGGACAGACAAAGGGGGGGGTCGCGTTGAGCACCCCTCCCCCTGCCATTCCAGGCGCCCTGAAATAAAAGCTCTTGGACCCCCCCCTTTTTCTTTCTTTCTTTCTTTTTGAACAGCGGCTGCTTCGGCAACAATAGAGTGAAAAATAGAAAAGGCTTTGTGGGGGTTTATTTTGGGATCCCTGACAATAGAGCTCCAGGCGCTGAGAGCTGTCCCGTCTTGGTGGTACAGCAGAGTCCAGGCGGGTGGCCTTGCCTAGTGATTAGGCAGGTTGCAGGGTGGGGACGGAGAGCTCTGCCGTTTCCCTGCGGGGGTGGTGGTGGTGTTGTCCCCCTGCCCCTGGCAAATGACCATCGGAGGCCCTCTCCCGCCACAGCGGCCAACGTGGCTGTTCCGGGCTGGGGGCTGAAGGGTGGGCTCACCTCGTGGGGCATCTCCAGGAGCCACGAGCTGGCCCTCAAGAGGCGAGGGGGCGCCTTTATGGGGCTTGGGCAGTGCCATCCGGGGGGAGGGGGCTCGGCACCTTCATGCTTCCCAGCGGAGCAGAGTGGCTTGTGCCCATAGGGGCCTCCTGGGCTGCTAGCGGGGGCCTCGCGAAGCCCGGGGTGTTTCCAAATTCCACCTGCTGCTGCTGCTGCTTGACCCGCTTGGGATCCATGATCAGGATCCACACGTGGGCAAGCAAAGCTCCTAACCGACAGGTCCCACCGCCCTCTCAGCTGCTCTCCTCTCCTGTTCTTCATAAACGGATTGGAATAGCTTGTCTTGATTTGGAGCCATGAATATTTCATTGGGCTAATCCAGATTAATGCACAGTGTCATGTTCAATGAACGCCTCTGGAGGAAGCGCCGGAAGAGCGGCACTGACAGCTCTGTCGCTCAGAGCCCCGGCCTGTTGGAGAGAGAGGCTCGTCTGGAGGGCTCTCCTCACGGGGCGTGGGTGGAATTGTCAGCCTGCCGTGGCGTTCCAGAGGGCTGATGGGGCCGGAGGCTGTGAAATTAACTCCTCTCCTAGGACACGGAGGGATTTGTGTTAGCTGCAAGAACTCAGAAGGAAGCCGAGATGCCGTTGTGCTGCCCCGTGGTTTTTGCTAACGTGGGCCAGCCACGGAGCCTTTTACACCTCGGCCGATGGCCGGTCCTCTGCGAGACGGTCAGGCTGCTGTGGCCGGCCTTTATTGGGCCAAGGGAAAGGCCCGGCAGAAAACAGATCCCTGGGCAGAAGAGGAGGACCCAGCGGGGGGGTCTGTGTTCTTCTGGGATCTGATGAAGGAGATGTTTCTATATATTTGCTCCGTGATATGTCTTCCTTTTCTTTTCCACCTCAAATATAGATTTGAAGTGATAATATTTACAGTGATATATTTTGGTCATAGCAGGGATTCCCAAAGCTCAAAATAGGGTCCTGATTTCTAAAGTCTGGATTTTAAAATTACTTTTTCTGCACGCTCTCAGCCTCTATTTGGTGAGCACCGCTAGAAAGCGATGTCAGAGGAGGCTGAATTAGAGCTGAAAGCACATTAATATTGGAGAGAAGAGACAGACAGTCATTTGAGTTTGTGGAATCACACTTGAAACGAATGCTTGAACACAAATAACCAAATAAAGGAAACTAGTTTGCACACTCCCAGAGGGGAGGGAAGCTCCCACTTTGACACTCAGATGCATTCATCAGTTAAGGATTTTACCCTTCTAATTACCACCTACTGATGAAGTCTGTTTTTGACCTAATTGTTTTCCCCATAATTATTGATGATGGAATTTAACTAGATTAATAAGATGGAGGGTAAGGAAGGTAGTTGCAAAATGCCGCAAATATTTCACGAGCCTTCAGCTTGAAGGAAGAACTCCAAGGACTTGGAAAATAGTCTGCCAAAGAAGGGGTGCTGGAAATGTTGTACCCGCACATTTCTTGCTTCCTCTCACCCCCTCCCCTGCTGGTGCTGCCCCTCCCAAGCAATTTCCCCCCCCCCACATACACGCACATACCTGTTACCGAAAGGATGCCCTCCCCGGCCCCTCTTTCTACCTCTGCCTTCCATCGGAGGGGGACGGGGGGGGAGCTGTCTCTCTCTGGGCTTCCCGAAGGTTCTCCTTTTGTCCTAGGTCTCTTAAGGAGGGTCTCCTCTGAAGCCACAAGGACAGCCCTTCTGAGTAGCAAGGTCTGGGGAGGGTGGTTTCCAGCCCCCTTTCAGCAGCATTGCGGCCGGTTGTGGTCTTCCCACTGTGCCCCTTCTTCCTTCTCCTTCTCCCCCCCCACCCCCCAGGTGCGGGCCATGAGGCTCTCCTTTGTTGGGGAGATGGGCTGGGAGCTACACGTGCCCAAGGAAGACTGTGTCGCCGTCTACCACGCGATCAGGAAGGCCGGGGCCAAGTATGGCATGGTCAACGCCGGCTACAGGGCCATCGACTCCCTCAGCATCGAGAAAGGTCTGTGAGAGGCTTTCCTGTCTATTTCAGGGACAGTTGCGACCCTCCCCCGTCCCCCCCCCCCAGGCCCCAGGGAACCGCTTTGTCTCCCTCCTGGTGGCGGGGAGGCAGATCCCAAGGGCAGGGGTGGGGCTGGAGGGGGGGAGAAAGGGGGGGTTTCTCTGTGTGAGCTTGCTTTCCAGCTGGGTTTCCCTTCAGCACAACCCACCCACCCCCTCTTTCTGGTGCCAGGGCTTGGGGACTGGGTGCCAGGGTGAGGCCACTTGGGTGGTGTTGGCTTCCCTCCCAAGTCCTTTTGCCTGCCCTCCCTCTAGCACCCCACAGGGAGCCCCTCCAGCCTCAGGTTTGCTGCCCCACCGGCAGTAGAAAATGGAGAAGTTTATTAAAAAAAACACACCACTTTCTGGGCCAGCCGCCTGGCCCGGCCCTGCCTATCAAAGTCACAGCAGACGGATGCCTTTGTATTGGGCGGGTGGTGGTGGTGGTGGGGGAGTCTTTAATCCTCCTGAGTCTTGAGCAAAGAGAGCTCCAGGCTTGCGCACCTTCCTCTAATCTTGCCATGTGCACTAAAGCTCTGCTTGTATTCCTGGCGTGTCTGCATGAATAAAGACCTCCACTTGGAAACCATGCCCTCTGCCGTTTTCGATGTGACACCAAGCCTCCCAAACTGCCTCATCCTGGATTGAAGGGAGCCAAAAGTATCTGCAGCTGTGTTGCAGGAAAGGGATGGGCCGAAAGCCGGCCACTCGACAAGGAAATGCCGGGGGGGGCACTCAAACCGGGAGGGGAGGCCACGCTGCCTATGAGCCACAAGTGGCCCAGCCTTGCTTTGGCCCACAGGGTGCAGAGGCCGCAGCTGTTTCTGCAGGGTTGCTGTTTCCTCTCCTCTCTGTTGCCTGCACTTCATTCAACGATTCCTCCTCATCCAAACTGTTTCTCCACAAGCTTCTCAGAAAACTCCTTGAGGGCGCCTGAGTCTTCTCTGAGAAAGTGTGGGGAAAGTTGGACACTGCTATCTGAGGGTGGCTGGGGAAGACGTCTCTACCCCTGTCCTGAGGGAGGGGGGGGAGACAGGTTTTTGTCCTCACCGGGTCTTCCTCGCATGGCTGGCATTTTCTTGTCAGGCTACAGGCACTGGCATGCGGACCTTCGGCCGGACGACAGCCCCCTGGAGGCAGGCCTGGCCTTCACCTGCAAACTCAAGTCCAGCATCCCTTTCCTGGGGCGGGAAGCCGTGGAGGCCCAGAAAGATGCCGGAATATTCCGTCGCCTGGTCTGTTTCACCATTGACGAGTGAGTGTCTTTGGCGGAGGTGCGAGTTTCTGGCAGGGGGGGGGCTCCTGTCGGGCGAGGCTCCTTCTGGAGGTGGAGCTGAGCTGCTCTCAAAATGCTCCCCTCAGAGTCTGACGTTCAGCATCCTCCACCTACCTGCCGAACAAAAAAAATGGCTCTCTCTCTCGTGCGCGCGATGTATGACGTAGGAGAGTACTAGTCACGCTCCCCACAGAGTCTGACGTTGAGCATTCTTCACCTACCTGCCGAACCAAAAAAATGGCGTGCTCTCTCTCATGCGATGTATGACGTAGGAGAGTACTAGTCAGTCAACGGTAATCTGTTGCTTTCGGCAACAGATTTCATCTAAAAGTTGTTGATAGATTTTGCTGCTGGCAAGAGCTTACGCGGAGTGGGACGTTTCTCTACAGAATGAACCCCATTTGGTAGCTGACAGGCCAGAGTGCGTGGGAGCTTAAAGGTGGGGCTTGGGATGGGGGGGGGTCTGCCGAAATGACCCTGTGGTTCCCGCAGCCCCTTTTCTGGGGTAAAATGTCGACTCGATTTGTACTCCAGATCTGAACCATGAAAGGTGTGAAGCGGCAAAGGGTGCCTATTTATTTGCAGGCCTTGGTTCAGGCTCCTGCTTGGCCCTCCACACCCATTCCCTCTGCCTTGGCTGGGAGACCCCTTTGGGCTGCAGCTGTGGGGGCGGGAAGAGCGGCTTCCGTCACCGGCCCTCCCCCCCTCTGCAGCTGTCTCCCCTTTGTCCCCAGGAAAGTCCCCCTCTTTGGGCTGGAGGCCATTTGGAGAAACAACCGGATCGTCGGGCACATCCGTCGAGCGGACTTCGGGCATGCCATCAACAAGACCATTGCCTACGGCTACATCCGGGACCCAGATGGAGGGCCAGTGAGTTTGGGCCTCGGGCGCCAGGTTTGGGTGGGGCTGGCCAGGTTCCCCTCCTGCTCCATCCACTCAATCCACCCATCCATCCATCCATCCATCCATCCATCCATCCATCCACCCATCCATCCATCCATCCGTCCAGCCGTCCATCCGTCCATCCGTCTGTCTTTCTTTCTGCTGGCCCTCTTCCAGAGTTGAAAGCCAGAGCCAGATGAGTTCTTTCTCCACCTGGGGGGTCCCCTTCTTTGGGCCCTTGGGTCCAGTGTGTGGGAGCTGCAGCTCGGTGGTGCTTTTGCCCCAAGGGCCAGCCTCGCCCACTTGGGGGAGGGCCTTTCCCCGAGGGCAGCTCCCTGTTCTGGTCAGCCTCCCCCGGGACAGCCATGCCTGGTCCTCCTGCCCCAGCCTTTTAAATTGTTCTGTTTGGCTTCAACCCCTCCTCTCTTTGTTGTCTGTGACAGTTCCTTTTTTAAACAGGTTTGAGCCTCAGGGGCTCACGGACTTCTGTCACAGGAGGACTATTTTTAAATAAATGGGAATAGTGTTTTCTCTCTCAGTCTCTCTCTCAGTCTCTCTCTCTCTCTCTCTCTCTCTCTCTCTCTCTCTCGCACACACACACACACACA